TTTAAAATGCAATATGAGTAAAAGTTACTTAGTTACTTTGAGTTATTTAATGCAAAAAAGGATGAGTCATGAATCGAATTGAGCACAAGGTGTTTTAATCGATTTTGAGGTGTATTTCAGTGGACATCCACACTTGCAAAAGGTCAGCTGGGCTAAAAAACATACTTTCTCACAGCACAAGGACAGGCACAACCTGTATCATAGAATTCATACAATCTTCAAGCCTACTGTCCAACAGACAAGACTGTGATAGGAATAAAGAAATTTAGACTACATTTTAAAGTATTCAAAATGCACACAAAATTAATTGCCCCAAAGATACCAGAAATCAAACTAAAATGCCACAGGATCCCACTGTTCACAATAAAACAAAATTCTCACAGGATCCAACAATTTAAAAGAAAGTGCTCAAAGGATCTAACTTCAAAATACAGTGTCCACAGGAGCCCACAAAACTGCCCCAAATCTACAACTTTAGACCGGTAAAGCTCTTGCTCAATTTCAACAGCAGTTGATTTTCAAAATTTTTTGCTGTAAGTTTTGCTCTCTTTGCTGTGAAGAGCTAGCCTGGGTGCCATTCCGAACTTAGTCCCGCCCACAAAGTTTGAGGTCGGGAAGTTCGGTCTGGCTCTGCTCCATAGTAGCGCGAGTATGATCGCCCACCCTCTGGCGATTCAATCAAATTGTCAGGGCGGGCTTTATACGATGATGGACAGATGACCAACAGTAACGTAATCAACCATGTGACCAAAGCGCACTTGGGTGACAACAATAATGGCTGCCGCTGGAGAGTTTGGGTGAGTAGATTCTGCCATTAGGTCTGTTCTAGAAGATATCGACGGCAATTTAATTTTAAAAGAGGAACAGAGAAACGCGATCAAGTCTCATCTTCTTATTATAGAAATGCAACTGCACGCTTTGATTTTTGTGGACAACAACTATGCCTCGCTTAACATACGTCACGCACTCTGTTGCTCTTATTGGTTGTAGATCCATCCAATTGAGTGCAGAGGCATTTTTTATCCTGGTTCGTTCGAAACACGCCCCATAATCACAGCTCTATGGAGCAGTATCAGACTCATATTCTGACTAGAATTGAGTCGGACTACGTCAGGCTAGTGAAGAGCAACCCGGCTGAACTAAAAACAATGTGTTACTCGGCAGTGTTGGGAAAGTTCTCTTTCTACGTGAACTAGTTCAAAGTTCAGTTCACACATTTTAAAATGAACTAGTTCAGTTCATAGTTCACAATTCCAAAAAACGAACTAGTTCATAGTTCTTTTTTTTTTCATATATTGCTCAATTACACCATAGCCTACTGTAGAACCACAGACGGCAATTATTTTATCAGTTGTAACTCTGAAACTGTGCGTCAGATTTCATCTTCATATCCAGTTTTGAATCCTTATCCAACCAGGGTTTACATTAGCATTGAGGGGACAGCATTTCCCCATTGTTGCTTTAATGCTTTGTTGCTGTCCATTCACTTCACACTAGTAGCAGCTGCAGCTTTCACCCCTACAGTATATTCTCAAAAACATCACGAAACATGTGCTGCTTGAATGGTCTTTTTTATGAGGAATTATTAAAAGAAAAATAGGAAAGTAGTCTTTAAGGTGCAAATGTTTTTTTTTATTTTAATAATTTTTTCCATTTGAAATTCCATTTCAATACATACTAAAAAGGAATCCTGGAAAATTATACCAGGCAGGTTTAACAAACAAGTTACATGGATAGTAAAACCCTCAAGAACAGGGGTCTTCTATGTTTTCCAGACCAAGGACCCCCAAACTGATGGCGAGATGGAGCGGGGACCCCCTAACTATATATATTGTATGAAATTGTGTCCTATAGTCACTCTATTACAGATGGAGTAATGTAAAGAAATTAATTTCTCCCTGGGATTATTAAAGTTTTTCTGATTCTGATTCCTGGTTGTTGTGAAGGAAACGGTGCCCAGCTTGAAAGAGCTCCTGTGTGTCGCTGAATGTGAGCATTGATGACTGAAAGACATCTTCTGCCTCCATTTATCTGTTTACTACAGTGTGTTGATTTCATGTTAATGAGTATTTAAAGACATTTCAATTAGTGGGGGGAAAAAAATGCAGGGGGGGAATATAAAAATATCAACTAACCATGCAGACCCTCATGCAGTACCTCCGTAGACCCCCTAGGGGTCGCGGATCCCCCGTTGAAGACCGCTCAAAAAGATTTTACTAACACAAACTGAGGGACCAGGCTGAGGTAGGAATTTAAGGTTACTGAAGTGCGGATTTTTTTACTGAAAGCCGGCGGGCAAACTTGTTGCCATCATCCTCACCGACCACCTGGTCATAAACCTGTTTTAAGTCGCCTCCATGCTGCTGTGGCTTCCACGCTGCATTTTGTTTTGATGACGCACGCGGCTGTAGCACGACGCTGGTAGCTGGTGTTGCCAGATTGGGTGTTTTTCCCGCTACATATTAAGGCCTGTTTACGGTGTGATTTAGCCGGGGTTTTGCCTGGAGGACTCTATAGAAATCTGGCAACCTATTGAACGGAGCTGAACTGAGAGAGCGTGCCGTTCACAGACACCAGAATGAACGAGTTCACAATAACGTTCATCAGGCAATAATGCAGTACGTTCAGTTCACGTTCGCCCAAAATATGAACGAGTTCATGAACTTTCGTTCAATGAACGCGTTCAGGCACAACACTGTTACTCGGTGGGGATTGGCCAGCTGTCAGCACATCGGGGAAAAAAAAATAAACCTGTGAATTCTCTACAAATAGATTACACCACATCGAGTCATTTTATTATTTCCCCTCACTCCAAGTAATTTAAAATGATCATAACATTCTATTTAATTTATTGCCACATTAAAAAACATCAATACCTGTAATGCTCTCAATTCCAACTCAATCATACGTTTGATACTCCAAACTAGCTAATTCTAAGAACTGCTAACAAGCCAAGAGCTCGCTTATACATAAATAATAAATAAACCATTTGGGATGCGGAGATAAAACACATGCGCTAACCTACCGCCACATGTTTTCGTAAATTGGATGTTGATGTTTTAAAAGCCAAAAGCTCTGTTTTGCTGGGCAGGCACATGCTGCACTGCATTATCACATTGTTCCCTTTCGGCATTTGAAAACAAATAATCCGTCCAAATATGGCCACGGGTTTTTCTGGCTTTCGTCTCCAGAATGTGTTTCCTCTTCGGGCCTTTCCTCATCCATACTCTCTATGTCGTGATTAGCAACTGCCATCTTCCAAAGCGCAGCACTGGATTATGTGACAATACAAAGAGTAATTGCAAGGCAGGGTCGTGCATTAAGTTTTGGTTCCAAGACACAAGGGTTTACATTTCTGGCGACATTTAATTTGTTCACCATCAGTATTATTTTATTTTACTCAGTAGCGTGAGGGGGTTTTAAATGTAGCGAAGTAAAACTGCTCAGGTTCAAATTTACTCGAGTAAAAGTAAAAATTACATATTTCAAAAACTACTCAGAAAATTACAAATTACTCATAAAAAAGTACTAAATTACAGTAATGTGAGTAAATGTAATTTGTTACTTTCCACCCCTATTCCAATATTGAATTCTGGTTCACTCCTGGATCTCTGATGTCTCCTGGATTTCGGTTCTTCTGAATTTGGTTTGTGGATTTTTGCTTCTGTTGCCACCTTTTGGATATTAAATCTGTAAGGAACCACCTCAGCTTTCGTCTCTGCATTTGAGTTCTCTAAAACCTTCTGTTAGGTTTAAACACCAAACACCTTATTCAACCTGCACAAAAGAAAAACACAGAGAATTTAGTATAATTTACTTGCAAGGAGAGGGGGTCAGAAACTGCATTCAGTTACAAATTCCAACCCACTCTGAAACAGTTTCCGCTCTCTCCCAGCTTTTATTAAGGAACTCCCTGACTACAAATGTGGTTCCGACTGCTAAAACGGAGGAGGGGGTGAAACCAGTCGGAACCAGAAGTTCTGCATAACATCATACAATATCATAAGATAAGGAGAGCCTCCACTCCTTATCCGGTGCTAGTGTGTGCAGTTCTCCGTTCTCCTTGACCCCGACTGGTCTTCCTGCACACACTAATAACAAGCTTAGTAACACAGCAAATAAAACATTTCAACACTCTGTGTAATACAAGTAAACAGGAATATGCAAATGTGTAAATATGAATGTTTAAGTATAATATGATTAAAGTAGAATAACTTGTACAATTAATCCAACATTTCCCTCCTGTTTATTCACTTTAAGCTATTTATTTTATCATTCAGTAGTTACTTCTTTTCAGATTTTCAACTAAGAAATCATTTTTAGCTATAAAGGGTACACTCAGAGGTACTTTAAACTGATGGGTTATTGTTAATGTCATTGGAATTAGGATAAAAGTCAGGAAAATGTAAAGAGATTTCATCCTCTTCGCTGTCTCCATCATCAGATGGGTATTTTTCAGTGGGCATGAGGGCATACATTTCTGCTTTCATGGGTTGTATTGCTGTGGTAATTAGTCTATTTAGCAGCGCTCTAATACATGGAATACAACAACATCCACATAAGGTCCAGATGGCGGCAAATACAGCTATAGACATTAAAAGAGAAAGCACCAATTGTTTGTATTTACCAAAAATGTCTCCAAATCCATCCCACATTTTTGTGTCAACTCCAGAATGGTCTTTCATTTTGCTGTTAAGAGAGCGAAGGCCTCCAAGGGCCTTTGTGAGGCTGCCATCAGCAGCGGTGTTGTTGGGAATAAAGGTGCAACACTGATCTCCAAAAATAGAGCACACACCACCTTTTTCAGCTAACAACATGTCAACAGCAATACGGTTCTGGAAAGCCATCAGAGAGGTAGCTGACAATTGTTCATGGACGGCAGAGAAGCCTTGTTCTGTTTTATTTCCCAGCCTCTGGACGTTATAATGGATGTAGTTGATCCTGTCTACATTTTTATTTATAGTACACCACCAGCATAAGAAAGATTCAAATCCTGCAGAAACTTGATTGGCTAGTTTATACTCATCAGGAACACCTCTGGGTACACCAATGCTATCAATATAAGTAGGGTCATCTCCACTCCATGCATTTTCAGATGCCCTCCTCCTTCTAGTATGCCCTGTGTGAGGTAAAATGTTGTTTGCAGTCGTTAACAATTCATCTGTTGTGAGTGATGTAACAGAAACAGGTAAAATCAAGGTGACCGCAGCACATAATCCAGTGGTGTTACATGGAAGTCTGTCAAACAATTTGTCATCTCCACACCACCACCAGATGTCGCTGCGGGATTGAGGTTTAAAAAAAAATGGATACCAGTAAAATACTTGCACATTGTGTTTCATTTAGTGTGCCTAGTTTCGGGCCCACTCCGGTCCTGTTTACACAGGTGAAATTTGCCACAGCTACTTTTTTCAAAAAGATTGTTTTTTTGTTTTTGTTTTTCTTCTCAGCTGTGGTCAGGGGATAGATCTTATCCCAATAGGTGCAATTATCAGATGGGACCGTATAATTCATTATATTTAGAAGACATTGAGGAGTTATGGTAGCAGGAACCACGCGTAACAGCGGTCTGGCTCCCATACACACAAGACAATCATTAGACACTGTTTTAGCTGCTTGTTCTGCCATTAAAAGCCAGATGTTTGTTTGCCCAGAGATTCCAGTGGTGACTTGAAACAATTCATCTGTTTTAAGCGGTCCATTAATATTTTGAATTTTTATCTGTTCACCTTGGGCAGAAGTAAGAATCCCTTGTATCTCATCTCCTTCTTGTGTAATATTTGCGGGGCACAAATACAAAGGCCAACATGGATCGGTTCCACTGGACCGTGCACATAGAAATGAGGAAGAACAGCCTTCCTTCTCAAGGGGTTCTGCTGTGGAGTTTATTGTCATAGTGAAAACTTTGGAGGCATGGTTAACAGTGAACCCTGATATTCTACTCATCCATTTCTTAGCTAAAGGTGTCCATCCATATGACCCCTTTTTCCACTGTCCAGTGGTTCTAAATATGTCTCCCCAACCATTATGAGTTATTTGAACTACGCGAGGAAATAGGTAGAAATCATAACCGCGCCAATTTCCTGGGTCATGTTTAAAGCTTTGCGAGAATGTTTGAAAAGGAATAGTCACCAAACTGATTACTCTAGTAGAGTTATAGCAGAGATAGACGTCCCTTTTACAAATAGCTGGATCATGGGGGCAACAAGAATCCTTGCCCTGAGTGAGAGCTAAAGACAAAACTAATATGAATAATCGCAACATCATCTAGGTTCAAACTTCAAAAAGTGTTCTATGGATAATCTTTTTACACAATGGTCTACTTCCTATGACCTCTCGGCAGAGTTGTTGAACCTTCACCAGTTTGAGATGGTTGTATACTAAAAATACAACCCCCTTTGTACGATGGACTTCCACTGAAGGTCGGTGAAGGAGACCAAATGTGTATTCTATAACAAGTACCACAGTAGAATTACTAGAGTGCTAAGCAGTACGGTAAGGTTCCAGAGAATAATTAAGAAGGTGATTTTACTTATTACTCATCTGATCTAACTATCCCTTTCTTGCAATCCATTTAGAAAACAAATCTATTATAACCAAACAGAATTGAAAGGATAAATAGGTTTAGGGAAAGCACCTTTTTTAGGTCTTAAATTTCCTTGAAGATTATGTTTAGCACATATTAGACATGCTTTACAAAAGTTTTTTGCATAGAATATAAATCCATATGCTGTATAATGATGCTCAATGCTCAATCAATCCTACAATCTTCCCGGTTGAGACATGAGTAAAATCATGACTCAATATAGCAGCTCATTCAAAGAATTTTTTTTATTTGGAAGGATTGGTTTATGTTCTGGTCACATATAGGTGCCATCATGGATTTTAAGATAGTTTGGCTGATTAACATGTTTGTTTCGTTGAATGTTATTCCCACTTCACATGTATTTAATAAGAAATGTTATGTTTAATGCAATGTTACGATGAAATTAGGACAGCAACTAACAATTATTTTGTATATCAGTCTATCGTTAATTCTTTCGATTAATTGGTTAGCCAAAAGTTCTGTAAAGAAGATTACTAATGACATTAAACCAGGTGAAACCAAAACATCTCCTCCTGAAGAGCTCCGGACGGGAAGTACTGACAGACAAAAACATTTTATAATCGTATTTGCAACATGTTTATAAATTTATTCTACAGTTTTGGTATGATTACTGATCCAAGTGGGTTACTCTGTTGGGGAAAGCCAGATTTTACATGTATATTATGTTTTAGAGTCTCTACACTCCATTTAATGATGAATCACTAAATTTGTTTACGAATATGCAAATAATCAATTAATATGATTAATGTTTTCAGCCACAGATAAAATACATGAGATGGGCAACACAGAGTACCTACAGCCCAGATGTTCAACTTTTATAGTGAAGTTATTATTTTAATGAATGTATTATTTTGCTTGATACAGAGAGAGCATAGTAGGTAAAAATATAAGAGTGGGGTTTAACTCTGCACAATTCTATATATTCAGAAGAAAGTACTGTATTTACTGTCTGTCTCAGTTGTTCAATTAAAATCATTTACAAAGTGGAAAACAGTCCTAATTCCACATTCATCAGAGCCGGTGATACTTCAACATTGATAAACAGCATCTAGTAAGTGTAGTGTTTAAAAATGTTTATTAATGTAGCAAAATGCTCCTTTTCTCTTTAAACAATGAATTCCTCTCATCAGTACTGATGCTCATGTCAAGCATAAAAAAAGGGCATGCATAATGCATAGTACCAATGACACCAGACCAATAGTGTCCCTACCAAGGTTCAAATCAAACCTACGCTCTCGGGTGCCATCCTTCATTGCAGCGCCCCATATTTTTTATTTATTTATTTATTTATTATTTTTTATCCAAGTAAGTTTTTCATAGTCTTTATCAGGACCTGGAGAGTCTTTGTACCACATGGTAATGTGTAGGTCATTCGGGTCCATGGACTGCTGTACAGTCAGGGATGGGATGCCCAGCCTCTGTCTAAGCAAAGCATGGCTAGAGCATCCCTGCCTATGAGGTTAACTGGACATTCAGGTAAAGTCAGTACAGACAGCCGGCAGGAGAGTCCTTCAGGGTCTCTCAACCACACAAGCTGGATCTCCTGCACAGCCTTTAAATGACCTTGAGCTGATCGGACTATGACAGTCTCAGGTCCTTGGCCAGCACCTGGAATTTGTTGTTTAACAGTTGTTCTGCATGCACCACTGTCACACAGGAAAACTGTTGGGGTGCTATTCACATGTATAGTTAATACAACTAATCCTTATTTGTGCATATTAATTATGTTTTTGATAAAAATGCTTTGGCTAAAATGCCATCAGAACGCTGATAAATAGAGAGGAAAAAGGGACGAGAAGAGAGGGACAAAACCTAGAACAAATAATGGATGTCTATTATATTAACATTTCTCTATCTGTAGAATGGGTCTGTTTTATAGGTTTTCTTGTCAGGGGGCCCCCTGCCTGTCCATGCCTAGGGCCCCAAATTTCCTAAATCCGCCCCTGCCTATAGACCATCATGACAGGAAAAAATGGATTTTCAGCTGGCCCCTGACCCGCCAAAGGATTTGGCAGCTCAATTAAAGGAAACACCTCAGTTTCAGGTTTGGGTTCAGGGGCTGGCTGTGGGGAGATTAAGCCATATCTTTTGACCAAGCCCCCACAGGTCCCCCAGAACGGGTAACCCTTGTGGAGGTGCTGGGCAGCAGCAGCACCAAGTTCATTTGGGTCTTGCTGTAAAGCTGCTTGTGCAGCTGCTTGTGCTTGCTGTAATAATGCTGAATATGGACCTACAGGTAAATCATCTTTACGATGGGTATGTGCAAGGGTATGGGTTCTTATATTGTGGTTCTGCAGGCTCCTGTATCACACAAAATTTAACAGGAGTGCCCTGGACCATCAGAACTATTTCTGGTCTATATTTTCTTTTTTTTTTTTTTTACAAATCTTCTAGGTTTAAGACATCCATATTTTCATCCTCTATCTCTCTAATAGAAAATGGCTGCTCATCTAGTCATGCTGAGCTTCCTATATTTGTGGGTTGCTTCGACAATCTCTAGCCATGTGGCCTTCTTTCCCATATGACCAACACGCTCTGGAATTATCAGTTGAGCGTGATCCAAAACCTCTTCCCCTTCCACGGCCTCGGCTTCTGGCTCGGCCCCTACCTCTGGACTGCTGATAAAACACAGTGTCCTCTTCCTCCTGATAAAACACAGTGGATTCTTTATTTTTATTCTTTTTACTTTTTATGACTTTCTCTGCATGCAGGGCGTGATTTATATACGTTTGGAGTGTTGCACCACTCATCTCTATATGGTGACGATTTACCCATTCTTGAATTATACATTCTTCCACATCCTTCTTTGGAGAGGGAATTCCTTCCACTGCTTTTCTTTGTCTCTCCTCTCTCTCTCTCTTAACTCTACGCTTTCCCTCTTCTCTCTGTCCTGCTAATTTCATCCAGACCATGGTTTGAACTAAATTTGGGCCCAGTGGGTTTTCAACACCTGTCGTGTTCTAAACACTGGGGCTTCAGACAAGATGGTGATCAACTACTTTTCGTGGTAAAACTCAATTCAACCTTTACAGGTGGAGTTTTCTTGTCTACAAACCTCCACAAAAGCTCACCATTTAACCCTTGTCTTTTTGGTATGAAATACAGATATCTAGTGATATCTATATTTCCTTTCACACACACACACACACACACACTCACACACACACTGCGCAGTTAACTTTTACTTTTTTTCCGTTTTACTTTATTTTAAACACAGAGGACGCCGCCATCCTATGCAGAATTTAACTAGTTTACAAACTAGGGGAGCCTGCCCTCCAGTTTACAAACTAGGGGAGCCTGCCCTCCCACGGACTTTAACTGTTTTAAAATTTCTATTTTACCTGATAGAGTCTAGAATTGTCAGGGTTGTAGTACAAAAGGGGAATCTCGTTACCCCACGCTGAGAGGACTTCGCCGTCCTTCACTTCTATCTTTTTTTTTTTTTTTTTTTTTATAAATGTTTTTATTTTTATATTTTTATATATTTTTTTTGCTAATAATTCACTCACTCCTTATTAAAAGAAAAACTACTCACAATTCTCTGCATCCTCGAAATGCTTCAACCGTCGGACCCCAGCTTGTTAGGGAGAGACCAGTCCCGTAAAGGGTCTATTTGCTGCGGCCGCAGGCTTATCTGGATCTCACTCACCTGCTGGGGGTCGTCGGGTATCTTGCAATCCGGCTCGAAGGACCAATTAATGTTAGGTTTAAACACCAAACACCTTATTCAACCTGCACAAAAGAAAGACACAGAGAGTTTAGTATAATTTACTTGCAAGGAGAGGGGGTCAGAAACTGCATTCATTTGCAAATTCCAACCCACTCTGAAACAGTTTCCGCTCTCTCCCAGCTTTTATTAAGGAACTCCCTGACTACAAATGTGGTTCCGACTGCTAAAAGGGAGGAGGGGGTGAAACCAGTCGGAACCAGAAGTTCTGCATAACATCATACAATATCATAAGATAAGGAGAGCCTCCACTCCTTATCCGGTGCTAGTGTGTGCAGTTCTCCGTTCTCCTTGACCCCGACTGGTCTTCCTGCACACACTAATAACAAGCTTAGTAACACAGCAAATAAAACATTTCAACACTCTGTGTAATACAAGTAAACAGGAATATGCAAATGTGTAAATATGAATGTTTAAGTATAATATGATTAAAGTAGAATAACTTGTTCAATTAATCCAACACCTTCACACAACCTGCCAGTCTTAGATGCCGTAAGAGCATGTAATGGAGCGGCCACCTGTCTGCAGTTCCAGATAAATATCTGTAGAAATTGGTGAATCATAGAAATCTTTGTAGCTGCTTGCAGTCAGTGGAGTCAGTGGAGACGCTTGGCAGGATGCAATTTAATGTGGTTTGGGGAGATAATAAAGCCGAGAAATAAATGTTTATGCCTTTACGTATAGCTGATTCTGAAGTAACCTGAGCAGGATCAATGTGACATGTTGCTAATGTGATTTTAAGTCTTTGGATTAAACAATAATGTTCTCCAAATAAGCAAACACATATTGGCCTACCATGTCTCGTATAACATTAGAAAACGGCCGGAGCATTGGTGACATGACAAGATAATCATAGTGTCCAGTAGTATTATTGAAAGCAGTTTTTCCACTTTGGTAGAACCTTGGACAGATTCTTTATCCTTTTCTGAATTTGAGGAAGATCAGGCTGTGGATGAACAGTTCTCTGAGCATAAAGGAGCCCGCCCATGATTTTGTTCACTTCTTGCCAGGTCAACAGTACGAATACTATTTAGGGTAGTAAAGACGCTCTGGTCCTCTGTGCTGAATCCAGACAACCTTTGGACTTACGGATGTCATTAAGCGAAGACACTCACATGTATGGCACTGGACAAATTAGGATTCTTCCAGAAAGAACAACAAAAACTAAAAGTTACACAAATGTAGCAGCTAGAGCTCTCCATTAGAAAACCAACATAATAAGAAGGTAAGAACATGTGCATGTCACATGCAGTACATGTCAAGAAATATGTTTTTGAGACTTCTTGAGGTGGGTCTGTACCTATTCTGCCTGTCATGCAAAAGTTCGTGGGGAGCTGTATGGTTCCCAGCAGCAGCAAGGGAGGTCAGGAGGTAGCTATGCTATTTGCATTGACACTACGAAGGATACTGTTTCCTGGTCCAAGC